CGCCCCGCGGGTGGGGGAGCCTCGCCGGACCCCGCCAAAGACGCCGGCGCCAGGACGCTGGCGGCGGAGGCTGCTGTCGCCCTCCGGGCCGCAGCCCGACGGCCTGTTAGCGTGACTCCCTTGCCCCCGAGTGTCACCCTGGGCAGAAGTTGGCAGTAAATGAGTTTCTCTAACGTTCTGTACGCGAACATCCGTGTAGCGACGCACAGTTCACCTCTTCCTTCGCCGCTTTAGCGTTACGGCGGAGCGCGAGTTCAGTGTACTTCTGTGGAAGTTCAGAGGTACCCTGCTTAAAACACACAGGGACTCAAAAGTAAAAATAGTCTAATCAAAGGATACAAATCTTCACTGACTGCATCCGAAGCAAGTTTATTTAAAAAATTAACAGTGAAGTTAAAAGTTTTTACTGGTGAATCTATACTACCCCTTGAAGACATGATCTCATGCCCAGAAACAAATGCAAATCTGTTTTTTTTTTTTGTCTTAGCTAAGCCAAGTGTAGAAAATATTAACATGCTAGACATGAGGAAGCGTAACATTGATGTTAAGGTGTTGTGTAATGCAGCTGAGCAACTAACTTCAGTGCATCTAACATTTGAGGCACTTCAAAGGCACAGAAAAAAACCATATATAGCCCAGTAGTGTCAGGGTGAAGTATGCTCATGGATCAAGTGAATTTTGGGAACTGTAAAGCTTTGCTGTTTTTCTAAGAATCACTTAGGCTCCAGTGCTTTGATAACAATTATTTCAATCAAATTTTAAGTAGAATTCTTTTCTTGGTTTACTTCCTAAACTGAAAGATCTTTGTAGTAGAGACTGTTATGGGCTTCTGGAGGAACCTTTTGCTTTTTTATAGATGGCAGCACAGATGAGTACCAATCCTGACTGGATGTCTTATTAAATACTAATTCAGTTGTTGTGGATCTGAAGCTTCTTTCCACCAAAAAAAAAAAACACACAACAAAAAACAACTGGGAATAACTTTAGTTGAATTGAAATACTGAGTACTTTAAGTACACGTTTGAGAACAGGAGTACAAAAACAAGCTCTTCAGTCTAGTAGACAAACATTCAATAGCTGAAAGTCAAAACTATACAATTTCAGGCCAACAGTGACGCTTAAGCCTTTAACTGTGAGGTTAATTTAACCATTGGAACACCTTAATATAGTAGGTTGTGGTGGAGGATGCTCTATTTCAAGTGAGAATTAACTTGGAGGATGCTCTATTTCAAGTGAGAATTAACTCCAGGAACATCTTCCTAAAACAACAGTCTACAACTTATTTAAGATTTTTTTTTTTTTTTTTTATCTTTCAGGTTGGTCCCAAAAAGGAGGTTGCGGAATGTAAGGAAAAGTTTGCAAGTTCTGTGGATCCAACAGTTAGTCAAGCTTTTATGTTAGATAGAGTATTCAATCCTGAAGGAAGGTCATTGCCGCCTATGCGAGGATTCAAATATTCCAGCTGGTCACCTTTGGGCTGCGATGCTAATGGAAGATGCTTGCTTGCAGCTTTAACCATGGACAATCGATTAACCATCCATGCAAACCTCAACAGACTGCAGTGGGTGCACTTAGTGGACCTGACAGAAGTTTATGGGGAGCGTTTGTACGAAGCCAGTTACAGACTTTCTAAGGTTGAGGCTCCCAGGGGAGAACTAGGTGACTTTTCTGAATTTCAGCGACGGCACAGCATGCAGACACCAGTGCGCATGGAGTGGTCCGGTATCTGTACCACTCAGCAGGTTAAACACAACAATGAATGCCGGGATGTTGGTAGCGTGCTCTTAGCGGTACTCTTTGAAAACGGTAACATTGCAGTGTGGCAGTTTCAGCTTCCTTTTCTGGGTAAGGAATCAATTACTTCTTGCAACACCATAGAGTCTGGAATAAATTCCCCAAGTGTCTTGTCTTGGTGGGAATATGAACATAACAACCGAAAAATGAGCGGACTCATTGTAGGGAGTGCTTTTGGACCAGTTAAAATCCTTCCTGTCAATCTAAAGGCAGTTAAAGGCTACTTTACCCTGAGACAGCCTGTCGTCTTGTGGCAAGAAATGGACCAGCTGCCAGTGCAGAGTATCAAATGTATTCCTCTTTACCATCCTTACCAGAAATGTAGTTGTAGCTTAGTGGTGGCTGCAAGAGGACCTTACGTGTTTTGGTGTCTTCTATTGATATCCAAAGCGGGGTTGAATGTCCATAATTCCCATGTGACAGGGCTTCATTCTTTGCCAATTGTGTCTATGACTGCAGACAAACAGAATGGCACAGTATATACATGCTCCAGTGATGGAAAGGTAAGGCAGCTGATTCCTATATTCACAGATGTTGCTTTAAAGTTTGAGCACCAGCTGATTAAGCTCTCAGAAGTGTTTGGCTCTGTAAGGACTCACGGAATAGCTGTTAGCCCATGTGGTGCATACTTAGCAGTTATTACAACAGAGGGCATGACTAACGGTCTTCACCCTGTTAACAAAAACTACCAAGTTCAGTTTGTAACCCTTAAAACTTTTGAGGAAGCAGCTGCTCAGCTCTTGGAATCATCCGTTCAGAACCTCTTCCGGCAAGTGGACTTGACAGATCTTGTACGCTGGAAAATTTTGAAGGATAAGCATATTCCTCAATTCTTGCAGGAAGCACTGGATAAAAAGATTGAGAGCTGTGGTTCTACTTACTTCTGGCGGTTTAAGCTATTTCTCCTAAGAATTTTATACCAGTCAATGCAGAAGGCTCCCTCAGAGGTCATGTGGAAACCCTCACATGAGGATGCAAAAATCTTGATATCAGATTCCCCTGGGATGGGCAGCACTGAAGATGATCAAGAGGAAGGAACTTCTAAGCAAGCTAATAAGCAGAGTCTGTGCGACGCAGGCAAAGGTGTGGACGTAGATGACACTGCAGATGATTCTCTTCTTCAGTCAAGTGACATAGGAGGCCGTGAACCAATGGAAGAAAAGCTTCTTGAAATACAGGCACAAATTGAGGCAGTAGAAATGCACTTGACACGAGAACACATGAAACGAGTACTGGGAGAAGTTTATCTGCACACATGGATTACAGAAAACACCAGTATTCCCACCAGAGGAGTCTGTGACTTCTTAATGTCCGATGAAGGATATGATGACAGAACAGCACGAGTAAGTACACCTCTGTGTTCTGGGGATTCAGATTTACAAGCTACCTCTTTTTCCGTGCTCTGCATCCTTCAATGAAAGTGTAACTTTGGGAGCGGTGGGAAAAAGAACCTTAATCATGTCATTCTTTCTGGTCAGCTTCTGTAGAGCATCCAGCTTAAGTTGTCCTTTCTGATGAAGCAGGGAGGAGTGTAAATACAGCTGTTGAAATTTTGATCAGGTACAATAAAGAAGAAACATGCCTAAGTTTTGTGCAGAATGAGGGAGAGGACTGCAATTTTCCCACTGTTGTTAATGGGCTTAGAACATGTACTGGTTGAAAAGAACATCAGTTTCTGTGGCTAAGTTTACTTAATACATCATTGTACAAAACTAAACTTGGGAAACATTCCCTCTAGTCAATTATGCCTGCAGTTGCAATTTTTCAGAGTTGCAGTATTTTTTTTTTTTTTAAAGTTAATTGAAAATGCTGTGACTGTTCAACCGGTACATCTGGTCTTGTCAGTGTTCCATTAACCTTCAGTGAAAAGATGAGTTGTAGAGATTCAGAAAGTGATCGTATTGTATGAGTTACATTCAGTGATCCAGAACTTTACGCAGGACCGGAAGTAACAGTCGACTCAATGTCTTTGTTTTATAAAACACAGATCTATGGCCTGAACCTTCAAGCATGCTTGCGTTTATTGAACTATGAAAAATAAGTGTAACTGAATGCTTGGCCATGACAGGAACGCTTCCCAAACTTGCAGTACCCCTACCAAAATAAAAGCATTACTACAAGGACAGTACCTTAACTATTGCAACACATAGAGCAAACACGTGGCAGGAAATGAGTGATCAGTGAATCTTGCACTGGGGGCAGTTAAGTTTTCTGAATACAGATGTCAGACAAAGGAACCTTCACTGAGGAAATTCTGCTGCCAGCCTCCCAGCTCTTAAGATTCGAATGCAAGAATGTCTCAGATGTCTCTATTTGCACCTCTTTGTATGAGTAGAGAACAGTTCTTTTCAGTACCTGAATCCTTGAATCACTTGAACTCTAAAAATCAAAATCAACCTTTATGTTGCATCTGGAAAGATGGGGGGGGGGGGAAGCATGCTCTCCATTACTGATGTAACATGTTTGTCTCTGCTGAGCTTATAAGCAAGCAGGCCACAGCTGTGAGGCCTTCAGTAATTCACAAGGAAAGTATTCTGGCAGAACTGCTGTGTTTTTCCTAGCATCCTCCAATTATTATGAATTGAAGGCTTGAGAGGTTGCGTTTCTTATTTTGTATATCTCTTGTATAGTGACTAAAAAGCTGACTTCCAAATTCTATTTTATATATTCAGCTTGTTGTCGCAATTTAAGTGTCCTCGGGATGTGGTTTGTATCTATTGAAACGTCAAAGACGCTTCAGTAACAAATTTGATCACCAATATTCTACTAAACCATATACATAATGATGTTTATGAGATGACTACTGAAGACATGCATCCAAGTACCTTCTGAACAGGAGGTTTTTTTAGCACATCCACCGTGCTAGGCATGAGAATTTGAAAGCATTGCTGTAATGGGCACAGGCATCCTCTAAGGTGATATGATATTCAGTTCTCCCAAACTTTTTAAATTTGCAATCAGCCTAACCTAAGACTGTTGGTTGCTCTTAAGTTCTGTATCCCTTTAGTATGGGACAGACAAATCTTCAGAGGTACATGAAAAAAAATAGTTAGAGAATAAATGAATCCAACTCTCTAACCACCCTGTACTTAAATTTCTGAATCTGCATTCAGTGGAATGGATGGATCTTTGCATCCTGTATCATATTCTGAAATCACAGTATCCTGAGAGACTTCTCCGCCATTCAGTAGGCGGCTGTCTTGCTATAAACGATGCTGACTGCTGTGTGTTCCTAGGTGCTGATTGGGCATATCTTAAAGAAAATGAACAAACAGACTTTTCCAGAGCACTGCAGCTTGTGTAAAGAGATTCTGCCATTCACTGATCGCAAACAGGCAGTTTGCTCCAATGGACATATCTGGCTCAGGTAATCTGTTCTTTAAGTTTTTGCCCTTCCTCCCCTCCCCTGGATAGGTTAATTTTATTTAAATAGCTAACTTAAAGCATTTTCCTAGTGTGGGAGTAAAAAGGCACAAAGCATGTTATCCAGCACTTTTTTGCTGGCCAGATAACTGGCCTCTTCCCCTGAGAGAGGCACCCGAGATTGAACTTGGTTATCTTATCAGCATGCTATTTTCAAGATAAAACGCTTCTGGTCATTTAACTTCTTTCTTCAAGTGGGAGGGTGGGGTGGGAGAAAACAGAGGAAAAAAGTCAAGCACAAGCGATCCTTTGGAATAGCAGATGAGGGAGAGTGTTCTAGCTACTTCAGCATTTGAAAACAAATCAGTTTTAACAAAAAGCAATTGGTAAGAACTACACTGAGAAGTCAGATGTTGTGGAACATCTGGACAAGGAAGTCTTTCAACACCGACGTATCGGTGTTGGCAGTTGTTCCTGAAGACTCAGTAGGTCAGTAGTCCAACGCTTAAAGAAAAGTCTTTACCATCTAAATTTTACCTAGCAGTTCTTACGTGCTATTTTGACTAAATAGTCATTACCTTCAGTTAAAGTTGCACTGGTTCTTCTGCTGTGCAGTAACCCTCAAACTTTTCATCTTTTCTACTGCGTGCTGCCTAAAATTGTTTGGCCAATGAAGAAACTTGTCAGAAAACAGAGGAAAAAAGTCAAGCACAAGCGATCCTTTGGAATAGCAGATGAGGGAGAGTGTTCTAGCTACTTCAGCATTTGAAAACAAATCAGTTTTAACAAAAAGCAATTGGTAAGAACTACACTGAGAAGTCAGATGTTGTGGAACATCTGGACAAGGAAGTCTTTCAACACCGACGTATCGGTGTTGGCAGTTGTTCCTGAAGACTCAGTAGGTCAGTAGTCCAACGCTTAAAGAAAAGTCTTTACCATCTAAATTTTACCTAGCAGTTCTTACGTGCTATTTTGACTAAATAGTCATTACCTTCAGTTAAAGTTGCACTGGTTCTTCTGCTGTGCAGTAACCCTCAAACTTTTCATCTTTTCTACTGCGTGCTGCCTAAAATTGTTTGGCCAATGAAGAAACTTGTCTTTTCCATAGTATTATTTTTTTTTTTTTTTTTTTTTTTTGGCCTTTTTCCTCTATGTGATTCTGCATAATTGGGTGTACTTGTGAAGTTTCACATACTTGAGTTAATTATTTCATTTTTGGTATTTGTATGGCTGCCTACTGGCCTTACTCTCAGGAAGTGAGGGTTCCTGTGAACAGAACCCAGCTTCAGTGAGAGCATAGGAGCAGGAAATAAAGCAAGTATCAAAAAATAAAACCCCAGACCTCTTGATGAAAGAACTTGTCCTTTCACAGGTGCTTTTTAACCTACCAATCCTGTCAGAGTTTGGTATACAGAAGGTGTTTGCTTCATGACAGCATTGCACGGCATCCAACCGCAGAAGGTAAACTGTTCCTTATGCGCTAAAAGGGCAGGATTATGTATTACAAATTTTATCTACATAATGACTTGAATGAGTTTCATTGACTTGCCTCTGTTAGGCAGCTACTACGCAAAGTACTGGTATTCTGCATTTCATGGTGTTGTGTTGTTCATGCCTTAGTGGCATGTGTTAATTAGAATATGACGACTGTGGAAGTTAATTTGCAAATATTACATTTTAACAAGAGCCAGGTAAATGTGTAATCTGTGCTGGAGTGCTACAACAATATTCAAGTTAAATAAATCAAGTAACATCCAGTTCTGCAGATGCTAGATGTCTGACACTAAATTTCAGTGCCAGTTGAATTGATCCAGCACAAGTTATGAAGAATTTGGCACCTTGTTGGCTTAGGTCCCAAAATAACGGCAGGCTGTGGGGAGGCAAGTTAACCTTTTGGCTTTGCATTTTCACAGTTCTCAGGAAGGACAAGTTTTGCAAGAACATAGCTTTATTCCCTGCTGGTACTTTTGAAAAGTCATGGAATATTGTGACTGTTTGTCTTCAAGCGTACTGTAGGTGATAGCAAAATACTAAAAGCCACCAGAAACTTGAGCATTTAACAGCACTCTTGTCTGGGAAGGCATGATCTTCTCTGGGGTGTCCAGTAAAATTTTCAGCAAAAAAACAATGTTGTTCTGATAGGAAGAGAAACTTCCTATTGATACTTTTCCTCTCCCTATAAGCTATGCGTATTCCTGTCACCACTAAGGATCAATTACAAAACTTAAACCACTGTAGAGAGAGAGACTACAAGCTTCATTTCCCTATATGGGAAAACAAAGAAACAAGGACTAAGTACAGCAGTAAGTGAAGGATCTAATTTTAGTTAACAAAGGCAAGAACACTACATTGCAGCATAACGTTCCTTTAATTTTTTTCTGATACGTGCTCGACACTTTCTTGTTTACGTAGAAAGCATCTAGCTGGGTATGTAATGATATAGCATGGACTGTTTCACTTTAGTTTTGTCCCCTACTGAAGTGTGATTTAAACTGTCACTACTCGAGATTAAGACATGGAGTTTGGATTTATTCTGAACTTTCAGTTAATCCTGTATGGTATTTATATACGCCAACTGTTTTAAGATTACTGCCTGGTTTGTCTCTCCATCTCAGTGTCATTCCTGTGTTTATCTTGACCTCCAGCTTTATACACATTTTTGTTTCATTTTTTGCAGATCCTGAATGGATCAAGAGGTTATTGCAAGGACCATGTACATTCTGTGACTCTCCTGTGTTCTAGAGAAGAGCTACGTAAAGACTGAAAGTATTTTCTCCACTGCATAAACTCCCCTCACTCTAGACAGATATAGAGTGTGGGAGTACATGCTTTGCTGAAGGGAGAAGACATTGTCCACAACCCTGTAAATAGAACATTGGAGGGTCTAGAAAATCCTTAGTCCAAAGCCCAATCCATGTTCCAGAAACAGGAGTACATCCAGAAGAGCAAGTTCATACAGTGGTTTGGAAATGCACCCCATTGAAGCATCAGCAGTTGATTGGACGCGCTTCCTTTTACTGAAAAGGAGCAGGAGTTTGAAGCATGCAGTCTGAACTGCCCTCTCTGCCTGGCAACTGCATGATTTCCTTAAGGCTAGGATGAGAGCAGTGGAGCTGCCTCTCAAGTAGTCTTGGTGGGTAGAGAAGGCTTCAACTTATTGTGCTGTTTGTTTGCTTGTTAACAAGCGCTGGCACTTGCTGCATAATATTAAGCTCTGAAAGTAATTTGTGGTTCTAATATTTCTTGCAGAAGAAAGCATATGCCAGTTATAGCCATATGAAGTAAATTGGCCGTTGTACTAGTTTTAACTTAAAGTCTAAAAGAATGACTCTTCTATCTCTTAACAGTTCTAACAGTATCGCAGCCAGAATACTAACATTCTGGGTCAACTACGGATGAGTAAGAAGAATTTTTAAATGTAATAATTAGCAATTAGATTGAACACTAATATATATATATATATGTATGATTTCCAATGCTGTTAAGTCTCTTGCCCCACTTTCCTTTTCTGAGCTAAGTTCTAACCACTTCCTAGCTTTTGCTAACATATGTACCCTTTGTTTCACCTAAGCCTCTGCCAACAGGAATCATCTCTTCCAGTGTAACTCAGTTACCAAAATATTACCAATTTACCTTATTTCCAATTTAATTGAGACTCTCCCTAATGCTTTACAGAAATTTGACATACAAGTAATTTCCCCCAGCTGACAGTTTCTCTTTTAACAACAACACCACCACAATAAAAAATAGAGATAAAAGATGTCTTATCTAAAGTTTCCACAGCTGGGTACAGAGCCTGATGAAGTTATTCTTGCATAAACCTGACTTTATCATCAAAGGATTCATAGGTATGCCAGTGATATAGCACGGCTGAGCCCAGAAACTTGCTCTGCTTTCTAACCGTCCTATAGGAAAAACCGTCTTTTTGTCTTTGGCACCCAATTCATACGGGGAGTGAGAGAGTCAACTTGCTATGCAGTGTTAGAGGAATAATACCTCCAAAGTGTGTATGGTTATTTGGTACAGTTTGTTGTGTTAACTTAAAACCATGTCCTCAAATAATCCAAAGTTTATATATTTGCATTCTTAGGCATATCAGTCTGGACACTCATGTGTGTTGTCCTGTTTGTGATTCATGACACTTCTAATTGTGTGTGAAGTCCTTTATAGGTATTTGAGAAAAATCAAGGAATTGTCCTGACAGTATCAGTCTCCAACAATGCATATGTGGATTGGTGCTTGTTGCCTTGATTTAATGACTATGCATATTTTCCTAATGTTTCTTCACCTTTAGTAGGAGCAAATTTTTTCAGCTAACATTAGAACAAGCTGTCTGTACTGTTCAGTGTTTCATGCATTAAGCATGATAGTGCTTTGACCGAGAACGACATTAATATAGTAGACTAGAACAGCATAAGCACATTCATCTGTAAAATAATTAGTCTTACTTGTAAATATCCCTGGAAGTGATACCATAAGTGTATTAAAGAAATGTTTAGTTTTCTATTGCTGTGCATTGAAAATTTGAATTGACTTGGGTGTGTCTGCAAAGAGAGAATCCATAGATCACGGTAGCATCTAGTAAGACGGTCAGAGTACCCTTGTTACCTCATGGGTGCTGAGTTTGAGGCAGGTACTGTACCTAGGGCAGCATTTATGTTCTCCTTACTTCCTGGGGTTGATTGGGGGTGGGGGAAGAGATGGATATTTATTTCACTATGAGCTGAACAGAAGGTTTTTTTCATGGCAGTAGCAATACCATTTTCAGTAGAAACTGCAAGTCCTCACCCAAGCAGTCCTGACCAATTGGCCAGTAAGTGTTCTGGTTCAAAAATCCATCTGATCATGGAAGAGGTGAGAGCTTTCCAGAACATGTAAATGCTTTAAAAAAAAAAAAAACAAATAAAAAAAAAAGCCAAAGATCATTCCTTTGATCTTTGCTTAAAGATCATAATAAGAGTCTGCTGAAATGTTTAAGTCTGGCTGACCAGAACATTTAATACAATATAATTAAATTATGGCCTCATGATTACTTTTAGCAATTCTCTAACTCCCCTGGATTGATTTGAATGCTTTAGACATCTAGAAGCTAGTACACATGCTTTCAGCATTAATGTTTATTTTCCTGTCTTTCAAGGTAGTAGATACTCAGTATACCTTTGCCAGTTTATTTAACCTGATTTATGACTGCTGGGAGAATGGCCAACGATGCCAACGTTGTCAGCTTTGTCTGCATGCCAGTGGAGATCCTTTAGCACAAAGCTTTCACTTCTCACCCTGACCCATTCACAACGGGTAAAGAATTATTGTGTGGTTTTTGTTTTGTTTTGTTTTTAAACCATCACTGGTCTCTAAGTGTACTTTTAGCTAGTCTGGACTTGACTAGCATAGCACACCTCAGACCAGACCAGTAAAATTTAACCTCTCGTGTTGACCATACTGGATCTTTCTACCCACCTACCAGCTGAAGCTTCCTTCTCAAGAAGCTTTATCTGTTTTGGACTCACTGCTTGCAGTTCTAGAAATGTGGGGTTTAGTCCCATTCCTGTTAGTGTTTTGTAATAACCCACAGAGCTGCAGCAGCACCCTGATGAATTTTCTCACGTTATCCCTCATGTTTGCCTAATCAAAATCCTGTTTTCATGCTGTGTACAGGGAAGGTGAGTGGGTGAAGAAGATATGAGCACCAGCAGCCAGATCCTTGCTCTGTTTTGCTGTTAAGGAAGTTGCCTCCCAAACGAATACACAGTAGAACTATCCAATATTAAGGCCTGGTCTGTTTTGAGACAGAGTAAAGCATGCAAAGAATAAACCCCATTAAGTCAGAGTTTATCCCACTTAAGTTTTTGCCTTGTAACTACTGAGGCCAGATATCTCAAACAAGTGAATAGTTTAAGGCTCTCCTCAACTGTTTCACCATTTGGTTGTAAACACTGATCATTTGCAATGCCTCATCTCTAAAGGAAGAATAGTACTCCAGAGAGACTAAGCTGTTCTGGATGCACTGCTTACAAATTTTTTAAAGGATTGTAGTATTTACTGTTGCATCTGAGGATTAATAGCCACAGACATTATATGTTCTGTGTCTGAAGCCATTTTCTGTCATTGTCCTTGATAAGTAGCAAGTCTTAAAGGTATCAAAGCTACTTATACCAATGAGTTATCTATCCTGCTGACCTCAAGCAACTACCACTGGCTGCCGTGTATATCATAATATCACGAGTGTTTTTACCAGAAATGGTTGAAGATAAGGGTTTTCAATCTTAACTCACCCTGTCGAACCTCCCATTTGTCTCGTAGTTTGAGACGATTGTTAATGCAGGTTAATAGAAAGTATAATGAGTAATGTGGAATAAGAGACCCTAAAATACCAATTAAATATTGAATAGCCTTACATTGCTAAGACTAATAAAACAAGAGTTTATCCTTCCTCCACTGGTATTAAGAAAGCCAAGTTGTTTGATGGATTAGCAGAACAGCTCTAGACCATCCAGATTTTTAGTGCCTTGGTGCTAGATGCCATTGTTTGAACTAAGGTGAAAGTTTAAGAGTCATGACGATTCTCTCTTGGGTCTCCAAACTATTTCTCCTGGTCTGGAATTGGTGACAGTGGAGCTCATTGCTGCCTTTTACCTTAATTCAGCTATGGGTCAGGGACTTCATTATTCAGTTCTTTTGTTTTATATGTTCCCCCATCCTGTTACTCCCACTGCACATTTCTAAAGGGGAAACATTAGTAGTTACTAATGCATACATACTAGCAGTAAATGTTTCCCTGAACGTCTTAAGCTTACTATGTTTTCCACTGGTTAATGTATCAGTTACAGGAAGCCTGACACTATTCTATCCTCACTAGGGGTTTCTTGACATAGGTGTTTGCATTCAGTTCTTTTATAGTCCTAGTTAAAGGGTGACAAATCACACCTGAGTTGTTATGCCATAACATTTACAGGAAATGTGTTCATACAAGTTTAATTTTTCAAATACAAAGCCCTTTATTACTGATCCAGTTTGTGAAACAGCGGACAGCCTTGTAGGCACAAGGCAAGAGTCACAGCTGCCATCTGTGGGTATGGCCTCAGAGAGAGCCAGCAGAAGAACCAATTCTCACTCCTCACAGCCCTCACATCTGAGCAGGGTTGATGTGCCTTTGACAACATCTAAGTTTTGCGTGTGACAGATATGCAAGGTCAGTTAGATGCATCTAGCAATAGATCTTCAAGGGGTAGGTTAAAGGTCACTATTGTAATAAGAGGGGGATATCTGTCACTTTTCTAATCTGCTATTTTGCATGAACAGGGCTGGGTACGTCAGAGACCACTCCATGCCTATTCTTCCTACTATGAATCATGATAAAGTGCCTGTTTGCGTTTTGCATTGCAGTTTATCCTTGCCTTGAGTTTCAACTGTCCGTTCTCTCTGGCACTCACCTGGTAGGTACTTAGTATTAGGCCAGTACTTATCAGAATATAGAAAACTTCAACATTTGTTACTGCAGAGCTCTAATCTAGTTTGTATTATTTTTGCAGCTGGAAATAAGAGCAGTAAGCAGTCTCAGAAGTATTGTTAGTCACAGCAGAAGTCACATGTAAAACCAAAATTTAGGTATCTAAGTGAACTGGAAGAAAATGTTTTACAGAATCTCAGCAAACAAAGGTGAAATGCTCAAATGCTCAGTACCGTTTCTCTATCCTAATTCCCCTCTTGAAGCATCTTTGGAAGCTTTCTGCCTCAGTCCTGAACTACACAAATTACCCTGATTGAATTCAAGACATACTTTCCCCCCCTCTTTTAACAAGACCTGGTTCAAGCCTCTAGTTTACAGCTTCTAGCTGCTAGTTTACAGCCTCACTGTAAATACTAGGTTGGCATAGCTGCTTTTTCCCCTCCATGCAGGTAAAGAAGGACCACTTGAGGTTGGCTTTGTAAATCTAGATTCCTGCCCTACCTATTTGAAGATGCAGGAGCCTTAACTGAACAAGAGGGAGGATAGCTTTCTCTTGAAGTCACAATCCAGGATCGTTTTTCTGCAGTTCATAGAAGTTAGCCTGTACGTATAGCAAAGTCCGCAGAGCGGCTGTCTTCACATTTAATGGAAGAGGGCCTTTTCACTTGAATTACTATCTATACTAGTCCTTAGCTGTATTCAGCTTCAAATCATACCACATATGTACTAATATCTTACATTGGCAATGTTCTCAGACCCTTGGTGTCAACGGGAATATTTTTATTCCATCACCATTTTTATTAGCTAACTCAGTTTTTAGCAGTCTTCATTCAAAAGACCTGGAACTCCTCCTGTTTTGTCAGCTGTAAGCATGAGCTGCATAGTGACCTGAGGAGTGTCACAGCTGAACGTCCATGACTGGAGAGGACCGTTTTCACTGTTGCAAAGCAGCCACCTCTTGGTGGTGCACAGGGTACTTACTAGCATTAACTACACTACCGTTCAAGACAGAGTGGAGTAATTCCCTGCACTATCCTAGGCTTCAGCTGACTCAACCAGCATATGAGCATTGGAGTAGGAGTGTCTTCATCCCAGGAAGACTTAAGCACTGTTGAAAGCCTACAGCAAGAGTTACAGGGCCATGCCAGCCCTGCGGCATTCTTACTTATCACTAAACTAGGAAGCCAGCCCTGGAAAGGGGAAGCCTGAGAGCCAACCAAATGGAACTGCTCAGAGAAGAGTAACTTAATTGCTCCACTAATCTAATTGATCTCTTCATGCCATTTTAATTCCATTCTGGGGTGTGAGTGTTGTAGCTGGTAGGCCACATGGTCACCAGGCTGAACGGAAAGCAAATTTAGGTTTTGGTCTTTAATTTCTGGATTTTTCCTTTGAGACTTAGTTCATGGGAGGGTCTGACAAAGTTGCTGTGAATACTGATGCTGTGTATATGGCACATTTTGTAAACGTGAAGCAAACTTGGATGAATGTTTTGTATACTGCGACAGTAGCATTGTAACCCTGCTCCTTTTTTTATTCTAAATAAATAAATAAAGTGCTTGTTTGTAATGTCTGTATTTTAAGGGGCTGACTTCCTGGGGGGAACACGGGGTGCCAGCATCCAGGACCGGCAAGGAAGAGTGGTGTAGTTAAAGCACTCGGTCCTTCGGCGTCCTTCTTCCAAAACACCCCACACTCACCTCAGTACACACACAGCTCGAACAAGGACTACACAGCTGCAAGCGTGACTATATGCCTTGTAAAAGTCAGATTTTTCAATTGTGACATTTGAAACATTTCAGTTACGGGGCTGTGGTAAAGGTAAACATAGGTCCAGAGATACAGCTAGACACTGCTTATTTCAAAGGAGTTTTACTGTGCAGAGCAACTGCATGTAGGTAGCTCTTCTGTTCCACTTACTGGCTCTCTTACTATGGTACCTTGTAGCTCATCTGTAGAGAAGAGGGATAAATGACTTCTAGCCTAAGCTGACCAAAGCAAATAAGGATAAAAATTTAGCCCTTCCTTTTAATATTTCAAAATTTATATATGTAAAGAGAGGAAGAAGGAAAGTCTTAGTCATTCCACAGATTTAAGGAAGTGACTTTCTAGAGAGATGCAACAAACGTGCCTCATTTTGTTAACTCAGCTGTCAGATGCAATGGATAACTTGGTTAAAGCAAAACAAAATTTATGCTTCTAAGCATTCAAATACCTGGGGGTGGAAATGAGAATTAGCTAGTTGTATTGGTATACCGGGAGGAAGGGAGTTGCAGGAAATCAGAATACACTCTAAAAGCAGATTCTGTGGGTCTCTGTAGTTTTGATTCTGCACTTCTAGCAAGGGAAGCAATGCTCTGGTCACAGTCAGCCGCTTGTACCAGGTCTTTCTGCCTCTAAGAAGTTGGTTGCTATCACCCTGAGCAGACAGATGCATACCTTGATTATTTACTTATAAATAAGGGTTAGCTTTCTCAAGGTAGCACAGTAAAGTCACATTTTAGTCACAGTAAAGGCAGAAAAATGTTAGCTTACAAAAGAGTTTTCTAGTACAGTAATTTGTTTCTAAACCTCTTTCCTGGCAGGTGAGAGCAGATGAATGAACAATGTCAGTAACAAAAAACCACAACGCTTCATCCTACCACTTTTATGTTTGGACCTCTTTCCTACTCCAGCCTCACTAAATATCTGTTTGAGGCTAACAGGTCTTCTGGGAAATTAGATGGCGTTTGTGCGGGAAGGATGTTTGCCTATTCTGATTTGTATTCACTTTTCCCTGTTTGTGAAGACTTGTTGCTAATTATACTTATCTGTAGTTGATTCCATGTTGGTACAAAGCAAGTCTCACACTGATTTAGAATGTGGTTGCTAACAACTCCAAATACACTTCATCTGTTTCAACAGAGACTGGATAGTTATACTGGCCTTGTTACCACTTTATGGTTCAAGATTGGATTGCAATGCCTTAGAGCTAGGATTTAGTTTTTTGTTATGAATAGCTTCTTATAAGGAGACCTGAAGCCTGTAATCTCACTTTTTTCATTCACTATCACTAACTGAAATACCTGATCTCATAATTGTATCTGTCAGCAAAACACCCTGTATCAGTGGAAGCAAAGCAAGAAGATCAATAGATTTCTTAATACCATGATCTCAGAGTGTTTGTAGTTACTTGGCCACTATCACACAACACTGGTAGTAAAGTCTGGGAAAGGACCTGGGCTCTAACACTGCCCTTCTGCCACACAACCATTCTTTTCTCCTCACCAACACAGGTTCAACCCCTCTTCTCCTGAACC